CCCCCCAGCCGCCCCCCCCCCCGCCAGCCCTGCTTCCCATCCCTCCTCTTCCCCCCTCAGCCAGTCCCACTCCCCTCCCAGCTGGTCCCTTCTCCCCCCTCCCCCCCCCATCAAGTGTGTCCGGTATTTTTTCTAAAGCTACCTGGTAACCCTACTCCTCTCAGGGCCAGGACAGGGCGAATGAAGTTTCATTCTGCTCCCCCACCCCCAGGCCCTGATTGTCTCCTCCACTCTGCCTCCGCCCTGTGAGCAGCTCACGGTGCTTCAAAGCGCCACGTGCTGCATGCGCGCCTCCACCCCCAGGCCTGGGGGGCGGGGGAGCACGCAAAGCCACCTCAGCTGTGCCCCCGCCCTGTGAGCAGCCCTTTTGCCCACGCAGAGAAGCAAAATGCAGCCCAGTCTGCTGCCCCGGGCATTTCAAAGCAGCAGCACTGAGTGGAGCCTAGGCTTTGGCCCCAAGCTCCATGAAGTACTGCCGCTTTGAAGTACCCCTACCTCTCCTGCGTGCTTGCTACCTCTTTCTAATAGAGGCAGAAAGGGGGGGAAGCAATGGTCGACTTGCATGTCGACTATCTGATAAACATTTGCTTTTCAGATAGTCAACTAGTCAGATGTTCACATCCCTAGGCTGGGGCAGAGGGTTGAAGTGCAGGTAGGTGCAAGCTCTGGTCTTGGGACAAGGGGTTTGGAATGCGGGAGGGGCTCTGGGCTGAGCCTGCGGCAGGGGGGTTTAGGGCTAGAGCAGGCTCTGACTGGGCACCACTTACCTCTGGTGGCATAGTAGGACTAAGGACTAAGGCAGACTCACCCTGGCCCTCCGCCACTACTGAAAACAGCTGGCATGTCCAGCAGCAGCTCCTACGGGGAGGGACAGGTGGCTCCATGCAGTGCCTGTGGATAGGAGGCCCCATTCCTTGTCACTGCAAGTTGCGGTGGAGCAAGGGACCTGCAGGCAAGGGCAGCATGTGGAGACTTCCTACCCTGCTTTTCCAAGGGGTCACAGGCAGAGCCGGACTGAGGGGTGGGCGTGCTGGGCAGCTGCCCGGGGCACCAACCGATGGGGGACGCCTGATGGCAGCTGACAGGGGCGCACGGCAGCCCTTATAGCTGCCATTAGGCACCGTGCGCCTGGCTCCCGCAGCACCGCCGTCCCCCCCGCCACCATCCCCATGGCGCCGACCAGCAGCGCCCTTCCCCCCACGGCCGCAGGGCCGGGCTGGGCAGCGCATGCGCAGTGTGCCCTGGAGGGCCGGCCCTGGTCACGAGGACGTTTTAGGCACAGGAGTGGTGCAAGACCAGGAGTCTCCCTTAACCCTTCTGTGCTGCTGGATTGTTAGTGACTGGTCCCTCAATTTGGATGCCGAAGCCTTGAGGAGATCAAGCCTGATTCCAGGAGACTTCCAGCCAGTGTTCCACATATGGGTAGAAACATTAGAGAGAATGAATTTTGTTATGTGCACCACCAGTAGAAAATGAAAACATATACAGAAGGCCCCCGACTTGCGACGCAATCAGTTCCTGGGTAAGTGTTGCAAGATGAGGGCATCATAACTCAAACCCTCATTTACGACAGGTGTGCGGGCCGAGGACGTAAGTTGGCGGTTTTCGTCCCCTTCCGAAATTACAAAAATGGTTGTAAGTGTGGGGGGTCACAACTCAAGCAGTCACATCTTTGGGGTTTCCTGTATTTTAAATTACCACAGGAATTAATTACTTCTTCTATGACAAATTAGGCATTTTACAGTTCTCTACTCGAATTAAAATTAAGCCTAAGAGAAATAAAAATTATGAAATGCACAGACCGACCAGTCAAAAACCTGAAATAAATTTTGAAAGAAGTATGTGTTGGGTCAGGAGAAGAGTGTGAAAGACAGTGTGTTTGTGTAAGTGACAGAGACGCATGTGAGTGACCGACATTCATACTGCTCCTTTAAGTATGCTAAGCGTGTTCAGATGTAGGAGCTACTGCCACCATGCTCACTCCATCCTGAGTCTTGTCACGCCCCACGCTCTGGAGATGGGGTACAGAGTAAGGATGTTAAAATGTAGATAATCAGCTAATTGCCTATTGACAGGGCTTGACAAATGATACAATCAACTCGCCCGTGGCGAGTAGATTGTAACCCGGAAGAGCCAGGTTCCGGCGATCTGCGCATGCACAGATTGCCGGACAGCGTGGCTGGCGAGCGGGGCTCGTCGCGGTTTGGCAAGCCCTGCCCATTGACTATTCAATTAATTGTTAAGGCCAGGGGCATGAGCTATGCCCCCCTGCATAGTCCTGGGAGCTTACCCCGCTGCAGCTCTGCTTTTTAAATGTAGCAAGAGGTAGGCAGCTCTTTCTACATTTAAAAAGCAGAGATGCATCTGATTCCTCGCTCGCACCCAGTCCCCTGCTGTGCCTCTGACCTCCGCCCCCCCAGCCCCCCCCCCGAGAGATGGTGCTGGGGGGAATTGGCTTTTAAGCCGGCTCCCCCCCTGCACCAGCTCCTGCTCCACCAACCTTGCTGCCTGATAGAGACAGCAAGAGGGGAGGGGGAGGAAAACAGCTAGTAACTTACATCCCTAATGCAGAGGTTGAGTGAGAGGGATGCACTCACATCAGCACCCTCCTCCTCAGCATTCCCCACCCTGTATAGCATGCAGGAGGGTTCAGGGTGGAGGAGGGACTTCAAGGCAGAGGGCTGAATCAGCAGGGCAGTCGAGGGAGGGGCAGCTGAAGTGTCAGCACTTGATAGCCTCCCAGCCAAACCAGTCAGGATCACTTGACAGAGGCTCCAGAAGCTACCAGTAAATCCTGATCTACTGGTTGATGACCACTGCTTTAGATCCTTTATATCAGCAGTTCTGAAACTGGGACGTGATTGTTTTAATGCGGTCGTCAGGGCTGGTGTTTCACTTGTCAGGGCCAAAGAGTGAGTCCCATTGCCTAAGGCCGGGGCCAAAGCTAAACTCCAAGGCTACGTCTACACTGGCCCCTTTTCCAGAAGGGGCATGTTAATTTCAGAAGCCGTAATAGGGAAATCCGCGGGGGATTTAAATATCCCCCGCGGCATTTAAATAAAAATGTCCGCCGCTTTTTTCCGGCTTTTAAAAAAGCCAGAAAAGAGCGTCTACACTGGCCCCGATCCTCCGGAAAAAGTGCCCTTTTCCGGAGGATCTTATTCCTACTTCAAAGTAGCCAGGTTCCTTTACCTCCACACCCAAGCATATGGAGCAGAAAGCAATCTCCCTTGGGTATGCACTTTACCAGTCTGGAATTCCTTCTAGAACAGTGGTTCTCAACTCATTTCAGTCCACGGACCACCAGGCCAATCCAAAAATTTTCATGGTGGACCACCTCCAGCACATGATGAATGACACAGCAACTGCTCAGCAGCTACAGTGATGCTCAGAGGAGCTTCAGACGGAAATTATTGGCAACACTACTCAGTTGCGTCCTAGGTGACGCAATGGATGACGCGCCGTGTGCTTGTGCGCCTGCTCACGCCGTGTGACTTTGGACAATGTTCCTATGCACCACCGAAAAAGTCATCATGGACCACCAGTTGAGAACCACAGTCCTAGAACCTCTAGCCACAATGCAACTTCCCCAGCAGACATCAGGATTTGGAGTTTTGTGGGGCTCAATAATGGCAGTGGATTGTCTTTACTGCATTCAATTTTATCATTAGTAGAAGTTCTGTAGGGTCTCAGGCCTGGTTCACTCTGGGCAATGTGGATAAGCCTATGTTACATAAGAACATAAGAACGGCCGTACTGGGTCAGACCAAAGGTCCATCTAGCCCAGTAGCCTGTCTGTCGACAGTAGCCCCAGAGAGGGTGGACTGAAGACAATGACCAAGCGATTTGTCTCCTGCCATCCTTCTCCAGCCTCTGACAAACAGAGGCCAAGGACACCATTTTATCCCCTGGCTAATAGCCTTTTATAGCCCTAACCTCCATGAAAGTATCTAGCTTCTCTTTAAACTCTGTTATAGTCCTAGCCTTCACAGCCTCCTCTGGCAAGGAGTTCCACAGGTTGACTACACGCTGCGTGAAGAAGAACTTTCTTTTATTAGTTTTAAACCTGCTCCCCATTAATTTCATTTGGTGTCCTCTAGCTCTTCTATTATGGGAACTAATAAATAACTTTTCTTTATTGGCCCTCTCCACACCACTCCTGATTTTATAGACCTCTATCATATCCCCCCCTCAGTCTCCTCTTTTCTAAACTGAAAAGTCCCAGTCGCTTTAACTTCTTTTCATATGGGACCCATTCCAAACCCCTAATCATTTTAGTTACTCTTTTCTGAACCCTTTTCAAGGCCAAAATATCTTTTTTGAGGTGAGGAGACCACATCTGTACACAGTATTCAAGATGTGGGCATACCATAGTTTTTTATATATGTGTGTGTGTGTGTGTGTGTTAACTGCAATTGGAGAGCTTTACATAAAACATCCAAGCAAGCAGGAAAATCCATCCTGTTTGCAATGGAAATCATTTAATTTTTAAGGGTTTTATTGTCTGTCATCCCATATATACAGCTTATTAGACACTGAAATTTGATTGTTCTGGAGTAAGGGTGAATTTCTGTAGTTCTGTTTGTGAGCAGTATTTGTCCTGACCGTATTCACAATACCACCCTTATTAGTTTGAAATTTACACTCAGCCTAAATATTGATGAAATACTACTTCCATTGAAATCAATGGCAGAATTCTCATTGATCTCAAGTAAGGCTAAGATTTCACTTAATATTTATGTATTGTGTGTAATTTAGACAGTAAGGTCAGGGGCTGGAAATGTGATTTCCTCAGGATTTCTAATTCACCAAATATTGTAAGTACAGAATTATCAAGACACTATTATCAACACAGGGCTTTTGCTTGGTGTCTTGTTTGACTGTGTAGAGTATAATAGAGCTCAGAAAGCATTCTTACTAGTTTAAATGAACTGCAGACCTTAAGTGCAGCATCTTTATTAAAAACAAAAACCGAAACCCCTAAACAGTTTTATTAAATTGTTGATTCAAAGGAATCTATAATAAATATTTTTTCCTCTGTGTCACTCAAACACAGGACAAGTACACCAATTATAGCAAGTATTAGAAAAGTAAACCCAATTTAGCTGCTGAGAACCAAAAGAAAACTACATAAGAATGTATGCAATCACATTATAGCGATAACTGGTATACATCATAACAGTAAATGCTTTAAATACAATATATTTTACAAAAAGTTTGGTTTAACTGAACTGTTTCCCTTCAAAAAACTCCTGATTGTACCATGATGAAGGCAGAAAATATCCCTTTGAAAAATGAAATGCTTGTGATTAATATCTTCCTCACATTCCCTTTTATGTTTTTTTTTAAAATAAAGTTTCATACTCAGCAGTGAAGTTCAGTGTTGACTTCATTGTAACCTGTAAGATAATTAGTATGGTCTGAACAGCAGTATCATGGCATGTTGTACTTTGCTAGTTTCAGTTAAAGAATGGCAGTTTGGGCTGGGAATCTAGACTATTCAGTGAAGGCTCAAGAAGAATATACAGTATCTTGTATCGAGGCATCAGACAACTCAGCTTTTCAAATCCTTAACCTCCATTCTCTAGTAATAAGCCTCTGATTGCTGAGTTGAAGATTTCTGTAATGAGGAACTTAGTACAATACTTATATGAAATACATGTTCCCAGCAATGTCTGCAAACTTAGTAGGGGTACACTGTAAAATTGTGGCTATCACCAAACAACTGGTGAGATTCACCTCTGTGTAAGGGCCAACACCAACAAAAAAGCTATGCACTATAAAGTCCCACTTACCCCACTACACACACACAACTTACACTGGTTTAACTTAAATATTTCTTTTTTTAATCAACTTAGGCCTGGTCTACATGAGACAAGTAAATCCACCTACCTGTGGTGCTCAGGGATATGAAAAATCCACACTCCTGAACAGCATAGTTGAGACAATCTAAATCTTCTGACTACACTAAATTAAGTGTAGAAAAAACATTAAACTGGTGCAAACTCCTGGATAGACACTCATTTTGGCTTAACATTGGCTTATTTCAGTTTAGTTTCAACTTGCTTCTAATCAATGCAAGCTACATCAGTACAAACTAGTTATAATGTTGATTTAAGTTGTTTGCACAGGTTTAACTATATTGATTTTTAAAGCACATGCTTAGTTAAATGGGTGCAACCCCACTTGTAGACAAACTACTAATTTCAGCCACCTGCTTATAAAGGGGTCAATCAGTGAGAAACTTTTTTGTATTTTGGCTAGTAACGAAAAGATCAAAGTAAAGCAATGTAATGGACAACACAGCATACTGTAGCACGAAAGCAGAGGCTCTAACCAAAAGATGGTATACTTTGGGGCTTTTCCAATGGGCTTTCAAGATTGGATGTGACACCAGACTGTTCCCCCTGCACAGCAATGCTGATATGTTGCACCTCTGAGTAATAACATTGTAGTTTGCTAAAGGGAAGGAAGTGAATATTTTCACATTTAAAGATTAAGGGGATTACTGTTACTAGAAAGTGAAGTTCTCAAAGAATAGAGGCCATCTATTATTCTTCATGGATTTCCCCCAAATGGCTATGGAACACAATCTTCTGATAGAAGAAACATTCAGAGGTTTGTGTTTGATCAAGTTTTGGTGCCTCTGCAAGATATCACAAGTCATTATTTTCTAAAATCGCCATCGTACAGTTGAAAATGGTGGACCTCTATCAGAAAAAGAGGTTAACTTTAATCCCTCAAGTGAAACAATTACAGATTCAAACTTGCTCACTTCTCTGCATAGTACATCTCCAATTGGATTAGACTTCTTCCATGGGATGGAGAAAACCTCTTCCACTGGTGAGAATAAAACTCAGTTACCATAATTATTAATTCCTGAATTTAGGAATACTACATTATAGGACTTGCTGGATCAGAAACAATGGTCGATTTAGTCCAGTGTCCTGTGCTTGACCATGGCCAGTACCAAGTGCTTCAGCAGAAGATGCAATAAATACTATGCTAAACAATTATGATATAATTTGCCAGCCAAGGACATGTATCCCTAACTATCATCATTTACTGGTTTACAATTTGGAGAACAAATATCTCATAAAGGCTTATTCTAATCTGCTCTATTGTGTGTTTCTTGAAAATGTCTAATACTTGGAGTCATGCTATTTTTTTACCTCAATAATGCCAAGTGGCATTGAGTTTCATAGGTGAATTAAATATACTTTATTGTATAACAAGTATTTAATTTCAAATTAGTTTTAAATTTGTTGCATGTTCCCTGTTTGCTGACTTCCCAACATGCTCCACCAACGCACCTCAACTCTTTCTTAGAGGTGTGCGAAACAATTCCACCACATTGTTCATTTAGCTGTGGGACTATTCACAAGGCTTCTGCTACAGTGCTCATCCCAGACTTGTGCATTATCATCACTGGTACCAAGAAGTGCACACCCCAAGTTCATCCTTCAAGACTTCCTATGCTGTTCATTCACTAGCCCTCACCACACAAGGGACCTCCTTTATCTGGGATTCAAGGTCTAAATCTGATCTCACTTAGGCTGATTGTACCTTTTTTTAGTACCTTTAGCTGATTTACACTGGTGTTAACAAGATCTGATTCAGGCTCCTGATTAGTCTTCAGTTTCCTCTTACAATTACAGTACTTGCATCCCCATAACAAAGTCCTTTCTTCAGCACAAAGGTTACTTCTATCTACTATATTCTTGCTACTTCTCACTACTGATTTCAGTTATCACTTGCCATGTGATTTGAGTTTTTGTCTCCTATAGTTATTTTGCTAAAAGGTATTTGCAGTGGTCAGTTCCTTTGAAGGTGATCAGAGGACTCTCCAACTAAGATACTACCTCAGAGGACAAGAGAATGTCTCAAAAACCTGTATTAAAGATGTTTTCAAACTCCCCTGAAGTATTTTATGTCTTGTGCCTCAGGTGATCCCTTTTTAAAAAAAAATCCTGAGATTTGTTACCAGACCCCAGAACATTGCATTTAATTTTCACAGTGCTCAGCTGTTCTAATTTTCAGCTGTATTTTTAGAGTATCCAACATTCCCTTTTTTAAGCATTAACAACAAAATAAAGCCCCTTTTTTCCCTCCGACTTCAGGTCTCTTAAAAAAAAAAATCAGTGTCTGAACCTCAGTGTAGAAATATGCAGAAAGAGAGGAGGTTGACAGGGCTTCTTGTGGAGTAAATAATCAGAAGTGGTTTTAAAAAGAACCAAGATGATAAGCTAATCTAAAGATGCTTATATGGCTGGTGGTTTGTACTGTAGTTCTGGATGGCTGGATTTTTCAGACCAGAGGTGAGCAGTCAAACGGTCTGGAAGGCCCGGCTCTGAGCAGGCAACATGACTGGGGTGGCTCCCATTTTCACTAGGGTGGCATGGTTAACTTTCTTTGGATCAATTTCCCTCCCCTCTGTCTCCACCCGGCTGTACCGGGAAGGAGTTATATGAGGGGTGGCTTCCGTGGACAAAGTCCGTTGGCTGCGAGAGGCACTGTTGGCTGTCGATCTGGTTGAGGATGAGCCTGAACGTGAGCTCCTGGAGCCAGAGGAAGAGGAGCTGGGTTTCACTAGACGGGCTTTGGGAGCCTCTGCATCTTCTCTGCAAGCAAACACAAAAGGTGGCAGGATTAAAATACTGTGAGAACAAAAATAGTAACACCTACAGACTATACCAGATCAAGTTGCCACTAAGATTAGGAGAAACTTCTGAATGTTCTTTATCATTTATAAGAGATAAAAGCTTAGGAGTTTGAGCAGGGTGCAAGGACTCCTGAGTTCAATTCCATTTGACATCACACTTGCTGTGTGACACTGTGACATGTACCTTAAACCCTCAGTTTATCAGCTGACCTAGCTGTAAAATGCATTTAACTGCTCATACCTCACAAAGTAGTATAACTTAATGTTATCTGTAAAAGGCTGTGAGATGCCTGCAATGAGTGCAGAGTATGTGTGCAAAGAGTTCAGCTATTAATGGCCTGATGCTGTAATCCCCACTCAAAATGAAAAAAGTAGTTGTGTGAACAGAAACCCGTGGGGCCAGTCATGCTAGTAAATGCAGGGATATACAGTCAGGCATGTAAAAAAGGAAGAAGATGAAGCAGAGTGGGAAGAGATGGGTAAACAGATGATTTAGCAAGAGGCAGAAATAGATTGAAACAAAAGGTGGAAGAGAAATATAAAACAAGTGGGAGCTTAGGAAAGTAAGCTGCTTACTTTGATCATACAGCCATCCTGACATCTCAAAAGGCAGAGAGCCACTGCTGAATGCATTATAAAGACTCCTAACTACTGGTAAATGCATATCAGGTGGGGCAGGCACTCCTTAACAAACAGAATTAAGGGTGAAAGAAAGTGAGGCATTTTCCAAGGGCACAGCTTGCTGCAATGCATTTCTGGAGATTTCCTTTTCTAAATAATTTTCTAATGAGAATTTTGGGCAAACTGTGGCAGGGACTATCTTCTGCTGGCTTACATAATGGCCCACACCCAGCAAATATATGTCAGCAACAATGTTACATCAGCACTGCGTAGAAAGTCAGTTTCCACTCATGCTGGGAGAATTCTTTCACTCAGTGCTAACCAGCAGTCTTCATTGCATCACAGCCAGAAAGAGTGCAAGAACATCCCTGTCCTACAGACAGAACCTGGAGTGAAAATCATTCAAACAGTTCAGAATTTAAAGGCAGTTCAATCTGAATTCAGTTCAGAAAAGGGATAAATATAGGCTCAGGGAGGGGTGGAAACTGGGTGTGAGTGAATGAGTCAGAGAATGAGTAGCTTGCATTTTATCTTAGATTTGCCCTTGGAAAACAGCATTTTTTATCTTATTGTAAGCTCTCCACAATGTGGTCTAGAACCTTGTTAATAAAGTCAAGCATCTTAACACAAGGCTCAGAGAGATTTTTAGCTTGTTACTTGACAGACAATGGAAACCATATGTTAAAGTTAACCCATCATGCTGGGAATGTGTGTGCCTAAAGAGGGTGTGAGCAGATTACCTGATTTCATTTGGGGCCTCTTCTTCTTCATACCTCTTCTTTTCTTTCCTCCTTATGGTCAGCCACACAATCAGGAAGACCAAGGACAGCCCCACCAGGACCCCACACACTGCTCCGGCGACCATGCCAATACTTCGTGCGTCTGTTATCCCAGAAACAAATGTGTGTTAGTAGATTCTCCACAGAATCACATAGCCAGATTCCACTCCACAATCTGTTCTCTTATATCACTTAGATTTTACAGAACTATAGAAATAGAAATGTAGGGCTGGAAAGCATCTCAACAGGTCGTTTAGTCCACCTCCCATGTGGTGAGGCAGGACCAAATAAACCTAGGCTATTCCTGACAGATTCCTGTTCTTACAATCCCCCTATAATGGAAATTCCACAACCTCCTTGGAAGTCTGTTCCATTACTTATCTATCCTTATTAGAAAGTTTTTCCTAATGCCTAACTAAATAAAATTAAACTATCAATTTGCAAGTATCATTGGATGTGAGTCAGGACAAAAAATTATTTAATTAATCAAATTATTTAGCCTTGCCTGCATGCAGGACTTAACTTAGGGCAGGTCTATATTATGGGGCAACGTCAACCTACGGTACATAACTCCAGCTCCATGAATAGCGTACCTGGAATTAATGTGCCTCAGGTCAAGTTGCCACAGGGTCTCCACTGTGGGGCATTTCTCCCGTAAACTTCCCTTTTGCTTCTCATTCCAGTGTATTATTGGAGTTGATGAAAGCTAGATCAGTGGTTGATTTAGGGTCTTTACTAAACCTGCTAATTTGTCTGCTCAGGGAATTGATCACCACCATGCCGATCTCCCAGTAAGTGTGTAGACCTGCCCTTACACTGGTTTGTAAGACAATGCAGTTAAAGTCATTGCATACCCCTGTGTGGTCATTCTTATTAAAAATGGCTTATTTTGGTTTAGCTTAAACCTGTTCCTTTATTCTTGTCTACACACAGAGGCTGTGTCTAGACTGGCCAGTTTTTCTGGAAAATCAGCCGCTTTTCCGGAAAAACTTGCCAGCTGTTTACACTGGCCACTTGAATTTCCGCAAAAGCACTGACAATCTCATGTAAGATTGTCAGTGTTCTTGCGGAAATACTATGCTGCTCCTGTTCGGGCAAAAGACCTTTTGCACAAAACTTTTGCGCAAAAGGGCCAGTGTAGACAGCTTAGATTTGTTTTCACAAAAAAGCCCCGATCACGAAAATGGCGAACTGGGCTTTTTTGCGGAAAAGCACGTCTAGATTGGCACAGACGCTTTTCCCCAAAAAGTGCTTTTGCGGAAAAGCGTCCGTGCCAATCTAGACGCTCTTTTCCGAAAATGCTTTTAACAGAAAACTTTTCCGTTAAAAGCATTTCTGGAAAATCATGCCAGTCTAGACGTAGCCAGAGGTTGCTCGTTTAACTTAAAGTGATATTTTAAACCAGATTAGTTAAATTGATACAAAAGGCTGTGTGGATACTCTTTGTTAGTTTAAGCAGGTTTATATTTGGATTATCTTAAATTGATTATATATAGGTTTAATCTAAACCAAAATATATCACACTTAAACAGCAGTGTGTCCATACAGGGCTTTTTACTGATAAATAGATTGGTTTAAAATCATACTGTAAGTTAAGCCATTGAAAATTGCATAGAAAAGCCCTTAGATTTATAGAAATGCTAAAAATGGCACCTGTGCATATGATCTGGGCATCCTTGGCTTGGCTTAAACCCCCCCTAGGTGCAGTGTTATATTGGGCATCATAAATTGTCAGTAAGCAAGACAACTTGAAAACTCAAATCCCTTTCTCCTTTGAACAATTTATCACTTTACAATTCACCTTTTTTCCTTTGCCCCATCTTGCCCAGCC